TGTAGACAAACCAAACATCCATTTAACTACTATCTCACTCAATCCAATCCCAATCCAATTCATTTCAAATTCATAGATAAATTTGGAGAACATTGCAAGGTCAAATTGGATAATTTGAGAAAATAATTTGACAGAGGTGGCATCTCCTACTTTCTTCTTCATTTCCGTAATACATTATAGAAAGGCGTATCATTTTCATAGAAGAAGAGCAACCAACATTGGCAATCTCTGTTCACAGGGTGACAGCTGACAAGAGAAATGCAGAAACTAAGCGCCGATTGCGGCTTGCCTTAGCTCCCTAGCGGCCGCTCCACCGCCACCCAAACGTAGACCCGTGCTGCGCCCATGCGCTCTTAGCGCCGCCTACCGCTCCTCCTCCGACGCGACGCGCTCTCGCCGCCGCCGCCGCGCAGAGCGGCATCGACAGACAGCCGCGGGGGTTCCCCTTTTTTTTAGGATGCGGGGGTTCCCGGTTGGGCTTCGTCGATTCGGCCTCCAAAATGTACTCTAGGCCTATTTTACCTACGCCCACCAGCTCCATTGACGCAACCCACCAGCACAACAAGGCCCTATATGGTACTCAACAAAAAGAAAAGAAAAATTAAGGCCCACCACCTCGCCTTCTTCTTCCTTCGCCTGACTCCTCCCATTCTCGACTCGAAAAAAAAAAGACTCCTCCCATCCCCGTTCCTCGCCGGGGTGGGAAGCCGCCCCAATTCCCTCGCCGCCGCGCGTCACAGGCATCCACCGGAAATTAGCCTTGCGGGCGGCCATTTCCGCGCATCCCTCCCCAACCAGCGCGAACCTCGACCAAAACCGCAGGGAATCCCACCACCGCAACCCCGCTCCCGCGCAGAAACGACCAGAGAGAGAGAGACGCGAACGCTTGCCTGCTGCGCGACGGCGCGCTGTTTGTCCGGCTCCATGTGGCGCTCCCCCTGGGCGGCGCCAAAGATCGCGCCCCGCGGCAGCACGGGCTTCACGAGGTGCTCCACGAGCATCTTCACCGCGTCCTCCATGTGCACCACCTCCTCCGCCTCCCCTCCTCCTCCTCTTCCGCCGCCGGACATGCCGCCCTGACCCGATGCTTCGCCTCCACCGAACGAATCTCCAGGGTTTGGGGCTTGGATTCAGTGAGGCTTTTGCGGCGGCTGGCTGGCTGGTCGCGGGTGGATTGGGGTTTTTCGTACGAGCAGAGCAGAGAGAGAGAGAGAGAGAGAGAGAGAGAGCAGTGCGGGTGGTGGTGGGTGGGCAGGGCTGGAAATGTAAAGGGACGTGAGGGTGTCGAAGTGGAAACGTTAAGGGCGTGATGGGCGAGGTCGATCATCCACGGTCCATTTTATCAGCATCGTGAGTCTTGGCTTCCCTATAATTAACAGAGAAATGTCTATTAGATTTGATTTCTCAACTTTTAAACCAGACAAAATGTACTTTTAATTCTTTAATCCTAACAAGTTACACCCATTAATTAATTCAACAAAAGCAGTTTTCGTGCTAACTTGCATGGTTTTGACACGTCGCCCATGTGTCAATCTTCTTCTTCCTTCTCATTTTAACTTAGCCAAGCATTTCGTCGAGTAGTGGACGCGCGTCGAGCAGCATGCGAAGGAGGGAGCCTTGGAGCTTGTGCGGCTTGCAGATGTAATTGTGACGAATATTTGTACAAGGTAGGCTACATCTCTGGGGCCTCACTGGCCACACGGGCACTGGCACACGCCATCAGATCCCCCTTTGTGCTTGCGCTATTATGCTGTCGTATTATAGAGCATTATGGGGAGGAGTGGTCGTAGTCAGACCCCAGAGATATAGCCATGTCAGTGAATCTCGTTAGCAAATCTCGCTATCGTGCCTCGTGTGATTGTTTGATTCTTGGGTGACCAACTATGCTCCTTAATTTTTTTTTCAACAAGTGGTATCATGAGCTAGGTTGTTCAGAGATTACGGATTATTAATCTAGAGAGAAATTTCGGCGTTGTGATTGTGATCTGCCGCAATGTCGTCAAAGGCAGCGGGTGTCCACGAAAGCGATCGGAAAAGAAGCAGCTTACCACCGAAATCCTCGGTGTGTTCGAGTCTAGATGAGATGCAACTTCAGATCAAATCGTTGGCCAGCGGCGGCGGCCTAATTGCGCGGAGAGATAGAACACGGAGCCGATTGATCGTGTTGCACAACGTACACCGCAGCCAGCAAGTGATGTCAGGTTTTCCAAGCTAGGCCAGGCGTGGGCAGAGGCCCAAGTAGGCTGGAGTAGAAGACACGGTGATTGTAGTGACGATGACATAGAAGTGTGATATTGATGGTGGCCGACTTCTGGACGTGGCAACGCGTTGCACATGACCGAGGGCTTGTGTGGCTTGGTTTGAGTGTAGACATGAGAGCTTGAAGTCGACGGGGGCGTACGGTAGCATGGCCAGCTATATAAAGTCATGTTGCAGGTGGAGCTGGAGTTTGATGGAAGACTTCACTAGGTGCTGATGGAGGGGCTACGGTGTAAGACATCGGAGAATCATAGCGTATTTCAACAGATAAGGCAAGAGACACATGGTTCGGATTGGGCCCCGGTGTCTGATGGAAACGTGATACTCGACATCGGTCGGTGATAATCATTTGGTTCTCTGAAGTAGGGGTTGAGGAGGTGTGGGCTAGCTACCCAGGAGACTTGACCGGGGCAGCAGGGGCTCTACACGATGATAGTGGCGAGGCATGATGTAAGCACTGGAAACGGCGACATACCAAGGCACTAGTGGTTAGACAAAGTGTGCAGAGGATGCTGGAGCAATATTAGCGAGTATCAGGTTTAAGTTGGTGACCGGGTCTATCAATACTAGGATATGAATAGGAGCTGACCATAACGAATCTGAGAAAGTGATGAAAAGTCTAAAATGTTAAAAGCTTGAAGATTACATAGATGTATATTCTGTGATGTTTGGTACAGATGGCAAAGTATGGATGATAAATGCAGGAGAAGATGGAGTGTTATAACCATGGGACATCTAAGGCTGACCACAGTGGGAGTAACATCACTGGTAACATCACACTTTTCAAGATAATTTTACTTATGTGGCACATATTTAATGATGAGAAAGGTGATGGTAACTTAGCTAGTTACTGTAACATCATACATACCAATACAATATGAGTCTATAGCCTAATAAATGAATCATAACATGACAACGCACATATGTTACTACCCATTGCGGAGATAGTAACATAGCCTAGTAAAAATATGATGTTACTAATCTAAGGTGGTGTTTGGTTCTCTAGTCCTAGGACTTTTTTCTAGTCCCAACTAAAAAGTCCCTAGTCCCTAAAAAGTCCCTCCCTGTTTGTTTCAAGAGACTAAAAAGTCCCGGGTCCCTTCCTAGAGATTATTAAATGACCATGTTGCCCCTAGTATATAGAAAAATAATAATTAAACAACATCATGGGGTGGCGGGCCAATGGGTGCATGGAGGGGCATTGTTGAAAAAGTCCCAAAAAGTCTCAAAAAGACTCTCCTTGAGAGTCTTTTTCATTTAGTCTCAAATGCCTAGTTTAGTCCCTAAAAAGTCTCTCTCGTTTGGTAAAAAAATCTTTAAAAGGACTTTTTCTAGTCCCTACACAGAAAAGTCCCTGAAAACAAACACCCCCTAAGTTACTCCTCATTGACGTTCAAAAAAAAAAGTTACTTCTCATTGTGACTAGTCTAAGAGACTATCTTGAAATAAGAATCTCGGGCAATAATTGGTTGGTTTTTGTTTCCAACAGCGGCGGCGCACATAGAGAGGTGCAGGTGGCCGGGTAGCTCCTGCACGGCGAGGCTCACGGGACCAACGGGGCCGAGGGTGGGGTGTGCTCGCGGCTAGCCGCACGGAGGCACAAGCTTGGAGCTCCTGTCCATCGGAGCTGTTGGTCGGCATCGCTTGCGGGATGGTGTCGCCGTTGTCGCCCTGTTCTACCGCGCCCTGTTCTACCGCGCGGCACGAGCCCTCCTTGACCTTGTGTTCCACTCCATGCGTCGTCGTCATAGTCTGTGGTGTCGTCCAAAGGCCAAATTGGCTGCCTTATCGTTGTTATATATCGTCCGTTGCTTCGTCCGGGTGTATATATGCTACAGTTGCACCGGTGGCCATAGAGAAACAATTAGGAAGAGGGAACGAAACTGCTCCATGCTCTCACGACTTGTCACGTCCCTGACTACGTTACTACCAGGTCCGCAGCCCGCCGCATCTGATGCTAGCTCCCATGCTCTCGAGGAAGGAGAGCATGTTCGAGCTGAGGCTGAGCTTCTTCTCAAAGCAGGGGACCAAGTCCATCGCACGAAATATGGAGCCGGAGAGCTGGGGGAGCGGACGAGTTCTACAGGTGGTGCGAGTCTTGTCAAGGAGGCCGATGTCGAAGGAGGAGGCGACAACATGGTGGCGGGCAAGGAATGTCGGGGAGCATTGCTACGCAAAAGAAAATAACCACGACGAACAAATCAAGATCATTATATTTTTGAAAGAAAATCCAGATCATTATTGAGGTGCAGGCAACAGGATTATACTCTCGAAGTCTCGAGCATCACGTCGATGCAACAGAGAGGTCGACGATGTTGATGAAGTCCTCTGTCATAGCCCTAGTTTATGGCAATGTACTAGAGTAGCTAAGCATGGCATGCATCATGATTAAATTTGATTACATTTCAGATTGAGGGAAATTCGAAGCCTCATGGTAAATTATATAAAGTGTTAAAACCCTAAATTTTCTTCAATGAACCCTAATTGCTTGAATAAATGTTCCGATTCATACATTTGAAATGGCTAAAGCAAAATTTATGTATATGCTATCTAGTGTGAAGGTTAAACAGGTAGTATCTTGATTAAAAAAAACTGCAAATAAACTTATCTCTTGAATCGACATTAGACCCATGATCTCGATTCATGCTATGAGCTTGCTAGATTGAGCAAAAGTGAAAACATTTCGTTTATCTAACTACAAAAAAAGGAGATTATAGTCCATATAAATTATTTATTTGGTGTTACAGATAACAGACCAAACATTCTTCTGTGCTTATACCTTAATTACACACTTCACTAGTTTGTAGAACATAGAGCAAAACACAATGTGGAAAAGATTTTTCGTCTTGCATGGATGATGGAAAAGGGGGATTTCAAAAATTGACACATAAAGAGCTTTGAAAATTTGACACATACGACCAATATACTTGCCAACTTCCTCGGCAACTATCCGGAAAAGAACTATAATGGTCTTGAGTCCCGACCCCCGAGAGAATCTACAATCAAACTGGGCAGATCCACCCTTCCCCCCTACATGTTTGCAGACGCGACCCCGGACAGCGCTGAACGACCTCCCAAATGCCCTCCCTTGCAATCACGTCTCCCACTTTCAAATCCTGAAGTCAATGCAAACACATGCATGCCGATCATACATAGGAATATCACACACAAACAACATTTATTCGTAGTAAAAAATACATAGTTCAAACATAAAATGTCTTCCAAGTGCACAATTCAAACACTAAGTTCTCTGGTTTTGATTATTGGCTCACATATGCTCCATAAGATCATTGAGTAGTTGCACGTGCACGTATTGATCTCGAACGTTCCGATGCATCTTCAAAAAGTTCACAACATGCTCCACATCTTATTCCAAGAGTCAAACATGAATTCCTGGATTTTCAAAATCATGTATTCGGGCTGCCACTTCACCATCATCCTCGACAATCATGGGGCGGACAAATTTGATTGTGACCTGAAGACATGTGCTCTGCCCCATCCGGACCATCTCACCAACGGCAGCGGCGGTACAAATGCAAACATCCGTTCTTCGCAACAATCCTTCTTGAGACCGAAGTAGGGACCATGTGCCTCCACGCCATTGACCACGTGCAAGAACAAGGGTTTGCTCATCCAGAAGTGACGTCGGAAAAACCCATCACGGTATGCTGGTCCGGTTTGAAAGTAGTCTGTCTAGAGCAGTCGTGCACCAACGATCCTATCCCGATTTACAATTCTCCTTTCTTTTTATCGAACCCTTGAACTTTAGAATATGCTTCACTTTCTTCTCTATTTCCTCTAGGGTGCTTAT